TAAGTAAAGATGACCTTTTTTAAAAAGGTCGTCTGTTGAATGTAAAGATGATGGTTTTTATAAAACAACCGTCGTATTTATAAACAATCCATGACGGTTTTCATAAAAAATCGTCCTCTTTACATACAATACACGACGGTTTTATTAAAAACAATCGTCTTTTCTCCTATGATTAACGATCTTTACCTCTAAACAACGACGATTTTCTTTAAAAACCGTCGTCGTTACAGATAAACAACGACGGTGAAAAGCCGTCGTAGTTTGACACCCAAATAGATATCGGTCGATTTCACGACGGTTTGAAAACCGAATATACGACGGTGAATTCCCGTCGTATTTTGCTTTTTTTGTAGTAATGGGCCAAGTGCTGTGGTGTTGGTTTAGAACCCCATACGAATTGAATCCGTCAGTGGCAATCCCAATGTAACATTTTGGGGATCCGCAACAAACTCGGGGAACGTTCGATCGAACTCTTTCTATACCTCCCCATCTGCAGGATGCCGCATCACATTGCCATCTATCCGTTTTTCCTTATGCCATCTCATGTCTGTGGCAGTATATATCGACATATACAATCGCTGCAACCAAAATTTCAAGGGCAGATAATGCATTACTTTTTGTGGGATCTTAGTCATTCTATTTTTAGATGTCATTTTGAACATCGACTCATTGCATATAGGGCATGTATCCAACGTTTCATGCTTTTTGTAAAATAACATGCAATTGTTTTTGCAAATGTGAATTTTTTCATAACCCAATCTAAGACTATTCAACACCTTCTGCGCGTGTTTATGGCCTTTCGGCAAACAATTGTCTGTCGGAAGCATTCTCTTGAAAACCCCTAAAAAGTAATCGAAACACAGGTTCGACATACGATACTTTATTTTTCCTTGCATTAGATCCACAATGGCCATGAGAATAGAAAAGCTCTCGCACCTCGGGTATAACTCTTGGTTGGTATTCTTTAACAGTTTTTCATATTGTTCAAACTCTGCACTGTTTATTGGTGTAGGCATGTCATCTTTCCCTTCCTGATTGATGTTGGTCGATGCAAATGGAAAAGCATCCTGTATAATATCCATGACTTGATCATTAGGATCCACAATATGTTCAACATTGTCCACTCTTGTTGCATTTGAAGACGAAGCATGGTCTAATTGTTCCCCGTGAAGGTTCTAAATGCTATATGTCTCAATCATTCCATTCCTTACTAAATGAAATCCAACATTTTCAATTGTCTCCCACAACGTGTTGTTACACCTCCTACAAGGACAATGGATTACCCGGGTTGTGTGTGCGTGCAAACTCAATAAAATCCTCGATTCCATCCAAGTATTCGTCTAGCATCTATTCGGGTTCTGTATCCACCTTCTGCTCATAATTCCTGGAACCACAATCACAACAACTTCATACGAAGTCATAATGTCACATTATGCCTCTGGTAAGGGTCCTATCCCATTTGGGAATGCATAGTCATGCCACGTCATGTACGGCTACATGAGATTAGATTTCGACGTAGATGAATTTCGGCATCATCTCGATACAGTTCTTGAGGTGTACCGTAGGTATAAATACCTACGTACCACCCGAAGAACATACAGAGATAACACCGAAATCTTCACAATTGAAACCTAATCATGTAGCCGTACATTACGCGACGTAACTATGCATTCCCAAACTGTCCAAATAATGGGACAATTCAAGAATTAATTGGACCGCAGTCATGCTTTACGCATTCATGCACGAAATCCAACTAACTAGAACGGGAAACTAAGTGTTACTACAAATAAAAATAAAAGTACGAAGTTAATTTCCATTAACTTCATACATGACAACACATTGTGCTTCGTCACGCACAATTTAACAACATAATATAAATATAACTTCACAAAAAAAAATTTTAACATAACAAACAAAGTTTAACGTAATGTAATTAATTTAACATTTTTAATATGTAAAATGAATAAAATACCTTCTTAATCGTTCTTCACCAATCGCTAATTACAAATATCCCTAACGAGAACGAAATTAATAGCGTTAGTACGAATTTACATTAATACTTTTAAACTAACGACAAAAAATACTTACCCAATGAACTTACTGAATTCCCAGTAGAGGCAGTGGCAGAGAGGTGCAGAGAGACGCAGAATGCTTTTTTTTTTTTTTTTTTTTTGCATTCTGCCTCTGCAATGGCAGAATACAGATATGAAGAAGGACTTTGCGCGACGAATGAACTATTTTGTCGCGCAAAATGCCGTCGTGAAAAAAAATTTCCGTCGTGCAAAACCAATTTTTCGTCACACAAGCACATGTCGACATCACACTTTTGTGCAGTGCACAAACTGATTCGTCGCACAAAATTTCGTCGCGCAACTTCTGACAGTCGTTGCGCAAAATCGACACTCCGTTGTGCGAAAGAAAACTTTCGTCGCGCAAGTACGTACCGGCATCAAATTTTACGCGACGAACCATATTTCCGTAGCACAAGGGTTTGGAGCCAAAAAAAAATATCCCACGCAAGTATTTTGGGGCAAAAAAAAAAAAAATTCTCACGTTTGTGCGCGAAAATATCCCAAAAAAATTATCGCGCGGAGTCGTCTTTTGCAGTTGTCGTCGCACAAGTTTTTGCCGCCAACTAACAAAACCCACTGTTTTCTGTCCACCTTTACGCGACGCAATGGCCAACCGTTGCGCTAGGTGTTCTTTTGCGACGAGTTTTGTCGTTGCGAAAGTGTTTGGTGCGGAAAAAAAAAACCCGCGTTTTTCTTCCTCACTTTGCGCGATGAAAAGTTGTTTTGTCACGCTAAGGCCTTTTGTGTGACGAAAATTTTGGGCACGCCAGTTTTCACCGGATTGCGCGACGAAGAAACTTTTCCGTCGCTGTAGTGCATTTTGCACGAACGAATTATTTTTCGTCGCGCAAATAGTAAAACGTAGGAGTGAATCTAATTCTCCTCAATTCAATTCCTCCTAATTCAATTACGGATTAGTAAACATGCCAATATAGCATATCGAGCTACAACATTATGTTAGGGGATACTAGTAAGTAACGTTGAAACTTACCCTAAGGGATAACTCATATGCTAAATTTGATTTCATCTCAAGAGCTTGTGCTTGTAGAAAACTAGACGGTAGTAGGTTGTGCAGAATTACAGAGGTGGTCTGCGAGAAATCCAAGTAAGATTCTCACATCAAAACTAAATCCGTAATGTGACAATGTGACCGTGAATAATGAATTACCTTATGCCTTTCCCCTCTGGAAGAATCAGTGGTTTCAAGGCTCTTGAGATTTCCCCTAGCAACTGCTCACTTAGAATTTCAATCGATCTACAAAGAGTAAAAACAATGTCCACAAGTGGCAGACCAAATCAGATGAGCATTATACCAATTTGATCAAATTTTGACTGCTATCTAACTATGAAGATGAAGTACAGAGACATGCATATACACATACAAGTAAAAATACAAGAAACATCGCAGCAGAGGTATTAATTTTTTATATTTTATGCAGCGCAGGGATCAAATTGAAAAATTGGCTTTGAAAATCCTACTTAATTCTTTGAAGATCGTCTTCTCTGTTTCTGAAGTTACACAAACAGAAAATTTACCTTATAAGCAGCTCAAATGACCAACACTCAAGGCTTGGATTGCTTGTACACTTTGCCTTTCTCTCAAAACAACATACATGTATATAATTATATCTGGTTGAGATTAAGAGAGGTGGACCCTCCTCCATAGTAGTCATTCCTATCCATATGCAGTACCTATTTCAGGTAAATACCATATTAACATCAGCTAGTAGCCTAAACATTCTTATCAGTCAATGATCTAGCTAAAGCCAATTTTATTGTGATTTGAAAATAAAAAAGTTCCATAAGCTTTACCTTGAGATCATCCACTGAGAGGTGAGGAGGCCGCTGAGAATGCATTATTTGAGGCCCATTCCGAGCACTATGACATCGTATTCTTCATCCATGGCTCTGAGAGGCAGAGAGATCAGAGGGGAACAGAGTGTTTGTTTTGTGTTTGTGTTTTTGTCTGTGTGAGAAAAATTGAAGAAGTGAGACTACATTTAAGCTAGAGAAGGAAGAGGTCTCTTGTCACATGTCACTTGTCTGGGGGACAGAATGAATCAGTAGAACATAAACAAACAGCTTAACGTACCCGCCAGGTTCATGTTTGATATATATATATATATATATATATATATATAGAGAACTTCCATTGAGGATCCCTCAAATAAGCTTATTTGAGGACACCCCTTTTAGGGCCCACTCCGGATTGTATTTCACTAATCCAAACCGTCTATTTTAAGCGTTTTGCTGATTTGTTTGTTTTGTCTACTAAATTTCCATTATGCGTCAAGAATGACAATCAGACTCACTGGTTTTGCAGTAACATCGACGGAATAGCTTCACGGTGAAGCTTTCCGAAATTGGCTAGTGATTTTAACGCTCTTTTGACTCTCTTAGCAAAGCCAGGCGTCCCTGGACTTTCTGTTAAAACCGTTATTAGCCCCCCACGTACGTTCCACGTGGAAGCGGCTACTGCCTAAAACGAATGTCTTAATATTTTCTTTGTCAAACATGTTTTAAATGTATGTAGTTTTGTTTGATTAAAAAAATAATAAAAACTACATTTCATTCCTTAGATAAGATCAAATATTTGAGCGCATCCTTGTCACAATTGGGGGAGAAAGAGGAGAGGAGGAGGTTAACCGCCGCAGAAGAGATGGCTTTGGGGAGAAGATTCTAACAGGTTACTCAATAGGATTGATAAGCGTGATGAAAAATATACCTACGCCATGGATGTCATTGTGGCTGTATTTCAAATCAATCACGCATTGTAATGTGTTTTAATTTCCTTACATAATAGTGCGTAATTGGCTTGAGATACTGCTACATTGACATTCCTGTGTTAAAGAACTTCTCATGAAAAGCAATTAAGATTTTGTATTATTTATTTAGGCAATCTGAAAGTACAAAATCTGACCCCAAAAGAAAAAAACCTGAAAATACAAACACAATTAACATTGAAGAAAGTACAAACACGCCGAATATAACAGAATCCGTGGTCCAAATCTTAAAGGCTAATCATCGACATACATCTGCCAATTGCTGAAGTGACAGATGCAAACTCGAATTTTTTTGCATGCAAATTAAAACACACACAAAAAACATCAACTGCAATTTTATGAACATCAAGTTGGGTATTATTTGATTTTTAAAAGAGCAAATAAGAAGCCGATCTAGATCACTCTTGGGGTCAAAACAAGACGAACAAGTTCCCAAGTTCCCACCCCCAAACTCATGGTAAAATCTTCAATCCCAGTAGTTGTTTCTGCAAAATATATAAAAAGACAAAAGCAATATTGTAATTAACAAACAATGTATCTGGCTTTACATCCATTAAAAGAGATGTGAACGGGAGCAATTTCTTGAACACAAGTTTAATATTCCAAATCATTAAGTTTAGGAAAGTCAATTAAAGGATAAAAGATACTTACGTATATTTGTTACATCTCTCGTCGACGAGTAGCATCCTTGGATGATCCACACCTCCTTTTTTTATGGATTCTCTAAACTTCTCTGAAACATTACGAAATTTGTATTGTTGTAGTTTAGTAAGGTGCTCAATACCCTCTGGCAATGTTTCTAATGTCAAGCAACTATCAATGCTTAAGAACTCAAGATTTGGCATCGCCCCTTTTTCTATAGTTATCTTATTTAATAATGCGAGATCCCAAAACCACAAATGACGAAGCTTCATAAAGCCTCTGCTGAAACATAACTCTTTCCTAACAGAGGCATCTTTAAGAAAAAGAGAACGTAGAGAGGGTAACGCTTCAATATGACGTAGTAAATCTTCTTCAAGTCTGGACCCACACAGATTCAAATATGCGAGACAGTTGAGTGAACAAAACCAATGTGGTACCTTTTCCAGTTTGCCGACCAGTTTAAGTCTATCAAGGTAGGGAGGCGGTGAAGGCAATGCCTCAACTCGAAGAAATTCCTCTCCATCAGCTACAGTTAAATACAAGCGGGAAAGGACCTTCATCTCTTGAATTGAGGCACATAGGTCCTCCTCGTCTCTTTCTTTCACATTTGTAATGCCAAGGAACGTAAGCTGGGTCATACTTCCAATAAGTCTAATAATGTTTCCTTCTGATTCAATATACGCCAAAGATTGCAATTTCTTCATCTTACCAATACTTGATGGTATTCTTAACCCAAATATCTTTCCGGAAATGAACCCACCACCCACAAGTAAATGGCGTAAGTTTAGCAACTTGGAAATCCCTCTTGGAAGTGCCTCTATTTTTGTCCCCATGATGTTCAAGGTCTGAAGGTTGCGAAGCTGTCCAATGGAATCTGGAAGCTCCTTAATTAGAGTTCCATTCAAATTTAAATATTTTAAATTGAATAAGGACGTTAGATTGCCTGGCAGATTATCAAGTGGGACATCCTTCAAATCTAGAACCTTCAACAATTTAAGGTCAAAAGGTAATTTATTTGAGAAAGAGAACGAGGATACTCCGGTGGCGAAGACGAGAAACGAACGAAGCCGTGATATACCTGTGCATGATCCAATTTCTCCCTTAGTTGTTTGAATTGACAAACGGAGTGCCCCAGTTTCTTCTACTGTTTCACTCCCATCATGTGCAGCGCAAAACTTTTCTTCTTTTGCTATAGACAGAGCAATCTCCTGCAAAAGATCATGCATCGTACATGCTGGGTTGGATGCTACAAACCTTTCCTGTAGCATGTTACGAAAAATGAGTTCCATAAGATAGCTCTTTGCAACTTCTTCTGGCGTGAGCCCTTCGACATGTTCAACAAATCCTTCAGCGATCCACAATCTAATGAGCCTTATATTTATGATCACATGATCTTCAGGGAAAAGGGAACAATATAGAAAGCATTGCTTCAGTCGGTATGGCAAATCATTAAAACTAAACAACAAGATGCGCATCTTCATAGGTTCTAACAAAGAATTGTTTGTTAGATGCCAACTTAAGCTGTTGTAGACTGTGCTCCACTCTGTAATTGACTTCTTAGAAGACATGAGACCACTTAAGGCTACGATCGCGAGTGGTAGGCCTTCACACTTTTCCACAAGTTCCCGAGCTAAAGGCAGAAGTTCAGGTGAACAAGATTTGTTCTGATAACTTGAGAATGCTTTCATGCTGAAGAGATCCCACGCATCACCCCTTTCCAACGGTTGAATCTTGTGAACATGGCTTTCAACTCCGAAAGAAGAGGATGCTATGTCTTCTCTTCGAGTTGTAAGCATGACTCGACTTCCAAGTTGTTTATCTGGAAATGAAAACCTTA